AGTCTGGGCATCTTTGCTTAGACTGCTGCCCCTGCGACCCGGTTCCGGATAAGCGGAGGAAAACGGAATGGAAAGGAACAAATGTTATGTTTGTTTTGGAACAAAGTTGTGAAAATTACTTTAGTTTGAAAAGGTTTTGTGGCATCTACTGATGACGTAGTAAGAAGCTGTGGAAAGTTAGATCGCCTTCTGTTGGACCTTAGCCATTGGCGGAGTGAAACTTTCTCTGACAGAAGGAATAAACCAGGTCCATTTATATCTTTCAGGATCAAACTGTAAAAAATGGAGATATTGGTGTAGAATAACTGGTGTCATACTTATTGCTCCCCTGTATGCTAGCTAAGTAGCGCATGTTTCTGCAGCTACAATGAGATACTTGCAATTTTTTTCTCATAGTGGCAGCAATACACCATCATAGGCAGTTCTTGTGTGTACTAGGAAGTATAATCCTGCTGGCACATTTTTAGCCCTGGGAAAGTAGAGGATTCTTTTCTCAGAAATAGCAGTAATGTCTCATGACACCATATTGAGTAACAGACCTAGTGTTTGGCTCTGATGATGCTGTATGTGAAGACCTGTGCGTCCCTCACAGGCTCACAGCTAGAGGAGTAAGCCATGAGTTATCCTGGTGATGCCAGCTATCACAAATGGCATGAGCTGAGGCCAAACAGCCCAAAGAAAAGCCAACAGAGCTGAATCTGCTCAGGTAGTAAGAACAGCCCAAATAAAGCACTGTCTAAAGACAGAGCGAACCCTCTCTGCTGAGCTCACCTGTGTGGATGAGCTTGACGTGGCGCTGCAGGTAGCGGTCAATCATGAACACCTTGTTGCAGCCGGGATGAGGGCATGGTCGCTCTCTCATCTCCTCGTGATGCTCCTTGATGTGCTTCTAAAATTCACCAGAAAAGAAAACCAGCCATTCACACAGCCGGTGGCAGAGCACGCGGACACTTCATACAGGTGTCAAATACTGACATCGCATCATTTTAGCCATTTACACATTCATGTGTAATGCATATGAAGTGTGAATAATCCGCGGTAATCAAGGCCACTTTTAAATGGGAGCACTTTTCTGAGCTTTGTAGTGCCACACAGTGTTTTATGGCAGAAAAGCTATGCCAACATTGAGTCTCTCAACATGTTTTCCTATATCCAGAGGCAGATGAAAACTATTCTACACATCATATTATTATCATTTTACTGTAGAAACAGAAGTAAAAGTAGCTTGCTACAGGCCAGACACCCTATACCATCAGCAGGGAAGCAGCTTAAGCTTCAGCTTAAACTAGAGTGGCATGGTGTCAGAATATGTAAGTGCTGACCTTCAGACCATCGGGAGCTCTATAGACGGCCGTACAGCCCTGGTATGGACACTTGTATATGTTGGGCAGCTCCTCTCTGAGAATACAAACACAACAGTCGTTTGTTAATGCACGTTTGCTGTATGCTGAACAAAGTTATGACAGTTGACTGAAGGAAACAAAGCATTTGAACAGACAACCATCTGCTGTTTCCCAGTGACATGACAGGACGACACCGAACTCATTCTGAATGGAGGGTGTGTATTGGAGGGGATGTGCCAGTGTACCCTTTAGGTTTGAACTTGTTCTTCCAGCCAGGTTTGGGTCCAGGTTTCCTTTTGATTCTGGGCTCCTCTGGGGCCTTTGGGCTTTGTCTTCTTTTGCTGGGAACAGTCATCCTGCGAGCTCTGATGGGGGGAGGACAGAAAGGTACATAGTTCATCTCTGCTGCTGAGAAGAAACAACAACTTTGCCGAAGAACATATGAACCCACCTCTTGTCTGAGTACAGCTCGAACAGCTCGTCGTCTGATAATGTTTCTTTTCTGCTCTCCTCGTACTCATTGTCATCCCTGGACACACACACACAGTTAAGAGTTCCTGTAGATGTTATAGGACGAGCTGAGCCAGAGAAACTGTGCCACCAACCTGTCAGACACCTCGCTGTCAGGCCTTCTGTCCTTCTGTTCTGGAACAGGAGACGCCGCCTCTTTGTGGCCTGGAAAATCTAAAATCCACGATCATGTGAGTGGAGGATTCGTACAGACACAGCACAAGCCAGACATGGCGAGGAGATCCCAACATGTACGTCAGTATCCGCAGTAGTAACACAGGCTACTGACATACAGTATGCAGGTACCTTCACAGTCTGACTGGTTCAGCCATTGGCATTAGTGAGGGTGCGCACAGTAAGTTGAACAGCCAATCACACTTCAATCTCTAATAACCATAAAGCTTGAGCAACTGTCTTGGAGTTAAACTGTGAATGCATGTGAAAGGCCTGCAGTTACTGACAGCGGGGTCAGTTTTTGTTTGTAATGATTTCATCTGTTTCTTACGGGACAATTGTCATAACCAGCGATTTGGCTTGAAAGCAGCAGCGTGAGATAGCAGAGCCGGGGAAGGAGGCTGGGCGCTGCTATCTTCTATCTACAGTGGGTACGGAAAGTATTCAAACCCCCTTAAATTTTTCACTCTTTGTTATATTGCAGCCATATACTAAAATCATTTAAGTTCATTTTTTTCCTCATTAATGTACACACAGCACCCCATATTGACAGAAAAACACAGAATTTTTTACATTTTTGCAGATTTATTAAAAAAGAAAAACTGAAATATCACATGGTCATAAGTATTCAGACCCTTTGCTGTGACACTCATATATTTAACTTAGGTGCTGTCCATTTCTTCTGATCATCCCTGAGATGGTTCTACACCTTCATTTGAGTCCAGCTGTGTTTGATTATACTGATTGGACGTGATTAGGAAAGCCACACACCTGTCTAAGACCCTACAGCTCACAGTGCATGTCAGAGCAAATGAGAATCATGAAGTCAAAGGAACTGCCTGAAGAGCTCACAGACAGAATTGTGGCAAGGCACAGATCTGGCAAAGGTTACAAAAAAATTTCTGCTGCACTTAAGGTTCCTAAGAGCACAGTGGCCTCCATAATCCTTAAATGGAAGATGTTTGGGACGACCAGAACCCTTCCTAGAGCTGGCCGTCCGGCCAAACTGAGCTATCGGGGGAGAAGAGCCTTGGTGAGAGAGGTACAGAAGAACCCAAAGATGACTGTGGCTGAGCTCCAGAGATGCAGTCGGGAGATGGGAGAAAGTTGTAGAAAGTCAAAGAAAGTCAACCATCACTGCAGCCCTCCACCAGTCGGGGCTTTATGGCAGAGTGGCCCAACGAAAGCCTCTCCTCAGTGCAAGACACATGAAAGCCCACATGGAGTTTGCTTAAAAACACCTTAAGGACTCCAAGATGGTGAGAAATAAGATTCTCTGGTCTGATGAGACCAAGATAGAACTTTTTGGCCTTAATTCTAAGCGGTATGTGTGGAGAAAACCAGGCACTGCTCATCACCTGTCCAATACAGTCCCAACAGTGAAGCATGGTGGTGGCAGCATCATGCTATGGAGGTGTTTTTCAGCTGCAGGGACAGGACGACTGGTTGCAATCGAGGGAAGGATGAATGCGGCCAAGTACAGGGATATCCTGGACGAAAACCTTCTCTAGAGTGCTCAGGACCTCAGACTGGGCCGAAGGTTCACCTTCCAACATGACGATGACCCTAAGCACACAGCTAAAATAACGAAGGAGTGGCTTCACAACAACTCCGTGACTGTTCTTGAATGGCCCCGCCAGAGCCCTGACTTAAACCCAATTGAGCATCTCTGGAGAGACCTGAAAATGGCTGTCCACCAACGTTTACCATCCAACCTGACAGAACTGGAGAGGATCTGCAAGGAGGAATGGCAGAGGATCCCCAAATGCAGGTGTGAAAAACTTGTTGCAGAGTGAAAAATTTAAGGGTGTCTGAATACTTTCCGTACCCACTGTATCTATCTTGTGACTTTCTATTTTATTTTGCTATGAGTAACTGCAACTTAACAATTTCCCTGTGGGATTAATAAAGTTTTCTGCCTGATTCTGATTTATTTCACTGTAAAGAGAATATCTCTGGGCTTTGGACTGCTGGTCAGACCGAGTAACAAAACAACTTAGAACTATAATGGAAATCTAGTGATTTGGAAAAGCAGCAGTGATAGAGCCTGGTTTGGAGCAGAATATATGATCAAGTGAACTATATTGCACTGTTTTATGCAATGCAGGCCATTCATTGTTTAGCAAACCTGAATTCCCTTATGGGAGGATAAAAGTGGAATCCTACTCTTTGGTACTTTACATTTTTGTATGTATTTATACAGTTGTAGTTCGGGGGGCAGCAGCAGATGAACCCAAACAAATCACTCACATGTTACAGACCTAGATGAATGATTGTTCCCTCATAGTGTGACTCGGAAATAATGATTTCCAAGATTTGCAGTTTTAAAAGCACCTAGGTTACATTTTTTACCTTGTGTGTGTCAAGTGTGTTTATATGCACTTAAGTCACCAGTTCACAGCTGGCTTTCTCCAGTCATTTCCTAACTGTCATGTTAAGATTTTTAGAAAAATGATTTACAGTGAGTAAATATTAGAATAGTGAGAGTAATGTCCGGGAGATGTTTCAGTGCAGGGGAACCGATGACAACCTGACAAACATCCACAGAACCACAGTTGGACAGTGAACACATTAGTTTCTGAGCTGAGGATGAATTCATCATATGTCAACTGAATGTAAGGACAGGGATCACTGTCTGCACTGATGACTGAGTTATCATAAAAATTGTAATGTTAGTAAAGACGGGTCTTGGGTAAAAAAGCTAATATCCAACCAGGATTCTGAAACTTCTGCAGGGGAATGCATTGGGACATGTACTTTGATTTGGAATGAGGCAACGAAACCTTAGGTAAATCCCAGTTCCCTTTACTGCATCCATATTTCCCTTACTTGCATCTCTTCCTTGTGTCTTAAGATGCAAGGAGAAATTAACCAAGGAAACGCGTTTATACAGACACGAGACATCCTTTCCTCTGGTCCTTCATCTGAAGCTTCCAATCACCAACTGATTTCCGATAACAAACCACAAAGGATGCTAAGGTGTATCCTTGTTCATGAGTTCATGGCTCCTCCAGGCAGCTTCCTTGTTCCTAAGAGCTTTGGGGCATCCTTCAAAATGGCGAACCACAGTAGCTTCCGGTTCAAGTGAGGATCGACGAGCAAGGAATGATCAAATAAGGGAAATGGGATTTACCTACAGTGTCCTCAGACTCAGCAGAAAGGAGGAGCCAGAGAGAACCTGAGGGTTTGTTTATAAAGTAACTGACTCAGAGTTAAAGTAATCTCTGGTTCTGGAACTAAAAGCTCAGAATTTCTCCCAACTTAATCCACTCAAGGTTTCCACTAAGCCTGCTTTGTGCAATACCCCCCACCCCCCACGGTGATCGAACAGCCTCACCTTCAGCGTTGCCGGTCCACTCCTCCAGCATTGAGCTCTGAGTCTGTGCTGTGACTGCAGGTGGACTGTGATGAGCCTGAGTGTTTCTGCTTCCAGCTGGGGTCTTTCCATTCTTGGTGGGTTGCTCTTCCTCCTCCCCCTCCTCATCCGATGTCACTCCATCACCACTGCTAAAGCTCATCGCAACGCTTTGATTGGCAACGGTGGTGCACTGCGTCTCCATGATGTATCTGTGACCATCAACGCAACCCCACACGGCCTTGACAGAGCCCCAGCACTGGCCGTCCAGCACCTCCTTCAGGTCGGGGCAGGAGCGGCAGGCCTCTCCATGGTGATGAGCCCAGGACACCAGGCTGTGCAGGCACTTAGGGTCTGAGGTAAAAGACGGCGGTGCTGAAAGAGAACAGCAGAATGTTTCAACAGAGTAATGCAGATGTCTGCAAGCAAGAGCAAAGAAGGAATACTTCTATTTACTTGTTGAACTGTGATTTACTGATGACTCTGCGCTCTTTGTATGCCTCCTGAAAAAGAAGCAGTTCAGTTTCAGTTCAAAGAACAGCTGCTTATATCTGTAGATTTCCTGTCAGAATCCTGATATCAATAAACAATTAAAGTAACATTAATGTAGTTTCTTCTCATGGACTCACTGGCTTTTAAGGTTCTCTTTTCCAATCGGTGGGAGGTTGACTCTTTGCAGAAACCTGATCAGGATACTGTGGCACTTGTAAAACTTGGTGTGGCATTTCTTACAGATAAATTCCGATAACCGGGGGTCACGGTTCAACTGGACTCCAACTAGTCGCTGGAAATCTGTGTGGAATAAAAGGGGTGACTGGGCCGTGGTGTCTGACTCATCATCAACAATACTGATGGAATCCTGAGACCACTTGTTGAAAGCGTGCCGCAGGCTGCGCGGGGAGAACTTCCCGTGGCACAGCCGACAGATAGTAGCAGACAGTCTGCCTGTGGAACCAAAAAAAAAAAAAAACACAAATCAGTCATTTCTGAACTGTCAGTTATTAAAGGAAACTGGTAAATTCAAGTCGTTTCTGTGGGTCTTCAAAGGAAACTAAATCTCTCAGGGGAACTTGAGCTCAAGGTTTCCTACTAGGACCTTTTCTTTTATCTTTATTTTGGATGAAAGGACATTGTAGCAAAATCCATTTACAAATATAATTTGATCAAACAGAAAACAGTTTAAGGTCATTACAGTAAATAGACTGTTCAAGTCATAATGAGCAGCATTAAAAAAAGTTGGCAACAGAACATTACAAGGGAAAAGACAACTTCAACTGTTTTGAATGAGTCACATTAATGCTAAATGGAAGCCATTGATAAAGAAAAAGTTGCCAATGTTTGCTCATAAACAAAGTGACTAAAGTACCAGTTTCACAGAGGTGGCAGTGGGCCACCTACCTGAAGCTGTGGGCCGTTTCTGTGTGTGGTCAGTGGCTGGCACACTGAGGTCTGCTGAAGCGGTCCCATCTGCTGCAGCGGTGTCATGGCACAAACTGTCTGCGGTTAGAGGAATAGTCTTCTGACGTGTCTCTCTGTTTCCAGATGTCTTCCTCGTCTCACTGACATTGACTGTCGTCTTTGCCCTGCTGCTCTGCTGTAAAGTCTCAGATGACCTTGGACGCCTGCTTTTCTTCTTCATTGTTTATCCTGTACTTAGCCTGTCAGCACTGATGGACCTGCTGCCTGAGAGAGTTAAAGAGATGTAAAGATCTGCAGTGCAGTTCCAACGAGTTTTTCTTATTCTCTTCTACTGTGATATATATGTATAATTAAACAATTCGTTGCCTTACAAATTACTCTTCCATGTTGTTATACTTTGTTATATCTTACTTTAAGGCCACTTGCTGCTGTTTTCCAAACCCTTTTTGCACCAACATGGTTTATCCTTTGAAACAATCATTCTCTGCTGCAGTGTGTTATTATGTAGCGATTGCTTTTATTTATATATCATATCATATGACCTTACTTTATTGCATTTTCTTTGCTTAAGCAATATTTTCTACTAACAATGTGTTAATGTTATCTATCAGCTATATTCAGCAAATTTACACAGAGAGACGAATTAATAGCTGGCGTAACATTTAATACTTCCGGTCAAAACGGCTGGAATGTTATAGTTTTTACGTTGCGACACATTTCTGCTCATTAGCGTTTAGGTGAACTAGCTAGCCTGAGTAGCCTGAGCCTGCTACGCTTGCTAGCTAGTGTCAAATACATAGACTGCAGTACCGTCGGGACAGGCGCCAACGCAGTCCTGTGCCATAACCTACCGTGATTGTATATAAATCCTACCACCTGAATCCCATGTTGTTGTTTTTAACCTAAATTGCGGTTTGGAGAAGCCAGAAAAACAATCAGTGGTTCCAACGATGCCACCAGTTGTAAACATTAAAACCCGGAAGTATTACTGGAGGATAGCGCAGCAAATGCTGCGTCAATGTCACGTCGGCAGAAGGGGGAGGACGGAAGACGTTCCCACCGAAACCACTGGGAAGCGTTCACGCGCTTGTCCAAAGAACAGTAGGGCCGAGTTCCAAACGCTGTCACAGTGACTTGCTGCGACCGCGGTGTGAGTGGGCGCTAAAATGCCAATGATGGAATGTGCACTGTGCAAATTATAGACTTGTTCCTTTACTTAGGTTTTGCGACAGGTCAGCACTGAACCGGCTCTTAAAGGTAGACTACATTGTTCATATAGTTTGTGTTTTGATTGTTTATTAAGATGGTATATTTACGTATGACACACACGTTAACGTTTTCACTTTAATGTACTGTACTTTGAGCCAGAAGATCTCACGTTGCCGTTTGCAGTAAAATAATCTATATTATAAATACGGTGGCTGTCATTACAGTTTGTGTTGATATTGTGAACATGATCGTTGTTGTTTATCGCTGCTGCCATGGTGCATGGCTAATAATACCGGGTCTGTCTGTCCCGCTGATCCCGCATCTCCTCTCACGCATACAGAACGCACGGTTATACGTGATCCTGATAGAGAGTCACGGGTCCCACGTCATGCCCACTAGCTCAAGTGTTGATTTTCTTGCAGACCCTGGTAGACAGAAGCCTGGCTCTGTCTACAGTGAAAGCTTACGCTGCTGCCATTTCATCCTGCCATGGGGGTTTTGGTGAGACATCTGTGTTCGCGCACCCACTGGTTAAACGCTTCCTGAGAGGAGTGGGCAGACAGCGGCCGGTTCAGTGACACAACAGTGAGATCTGCCTCTGGTTTAACGCGTGGTCGGGGGAACCCCCCCCCTCTTCAAGCCCATAGCACAGACGTCTCTCAAACACCTTTCACTGAAGTTTGTTGTAATGTACATACTGTAGCTTGCAGGTATAAAGGTGCAGTGACTGGAATATTTCCTGCAGTTTCATCAGCCTTTTTTGTGGTTGTTGTGTCTGATGTGCAGTTTAAAGTCACCTATGAGTGGCCAGTGTCCATTGCTCTAGAATCCATGACTGACTGCTCGCTTTCCTGTGCAGCAGCTACCTACCTATCAGCAGCTCAGTCTGGCAGCCTGGGGTTAAATGTAGACTGTGTGGCTCATGTGGCCTTAAGTAACTAGAGGTAACATTTGTTTTATTTTGCAAGCCATTTTGGCTGTGTTGAATGAATGTAGCTCAAATTTGCTACAGGTTATTTATTTTTTAAAAACTGAAAAATTGAGGTCTCACTTCCTTAAATTTGCCTTAAATGGCTGAAATAAAAAAATACTCACACATATGTACCTAGGTTACTGTTACTCACCATTGAAAACCATTTAAAATGCTTTTTTTGATGCCAAATACATCATATCATGTCATATTTCAATGCCCTGAAGCAATACACCATTTTAAACTAGAGGGTCTCAAAATGCAATTTTAGTAGTTGACCACCAGATGGTGACGCGCGAACATTTTGAAATCGTGCATGCAAATTCATCCAAATTTCACTATTTTTCCAATGTTTTTGCAAGGGTGACTTGCAGAAAGACTGAAAATGATAAAGTATGCATCACTGTTGTGTGTTATATCAATATGATTTGTGTGTGTGCTCTGTTTGCATTTATGTAATTGTGCCTGTGCGTGTTCGTACGCGCGCGCGCCTAGTTTTGGCTGCGTAAAACCAACCGCATGGGTGTGTCTGTGTCCAACTTCATAGGTTTTTTGCCTTAGAAAACCATATTCTGTGTTTTATAATTCAAGATCTGAATTGAAACCAAGCGCATTCGTCCATGACTCCTCTCGGCTCGTCTGTCTCCTCTCATCTTCTGCTTGGATTTGCTCATGCGCACTCCATGAGTTGTGTGTCAACATGGCCGTTGCTAGACTTGAAGCTTTACTGGGGCACAGGCCCCCCCATATAAGTTGTACATTACACAGTTATACACACAAATAATTAATAAGTACTCCCTCAGAACAAAAGGGGTTTAATTTTTATCAGATGTCATTTTTCATTTTCAAAAAATAAACAGCATACACACATGAATGCTACCAAAACAAACATAAACATTTCCAACTATGACTTCAGCAACTACTACAATAACTTGACTCTCACTCAGTTTACAAAGGTCTTCCTGCTCAACTGATAAGACAGCAAAATGGTGAAGCCTGTCTTGGCCCATTGTGCACCTCAGCCAAGTCTGGAGTCGTCTCAGTGCCCTGAATGACCGTTCACAGCTACACACAGACCTGCAAGTCCGTTAGCTATAGCTCATTTGTCAACAACATTTATCTTACCTCCCTCAAACTCATCTCTCCTTTCTGCTTCCCTCTCTTTGCCTCGAAAAAACAAGAATTTTCTGATATCCATCTACAGGAGGAATTAGTCATTGTTCAGATAGTGTAGCTAGCACCCATGAAAACTTTACTTTCACAGCGTTTTCATACATTATCTTACCTGCTAGTCGCGCGACGTACGCTGATTGGCATTTGAAATGTGTGTGCGGTCGGTATACACGGGCACGCCGCACGGGAACACAGTTTCCACGCGCAGCTGCAGCATGGTTTTTGCAGCGTTATTGCAGCACGTTTTTGTTTTTATTGTGTTTCTTTTACGTGCATCAATTGGTTTATTGACTGTCTTGCATTTAGTTTCTCTGAAGAAGGTTCTAATAAAAACCCTTACAAATATGGGAATGTATTTACTGGGGCACATGCCCCAGTACAAGTGGTATAGCGACGCTGATGGCCTGCAATTTATTTTATAAGCAATTCAAGATGAGAAGCAAGAACCCAAACAAAATTGGACTTTGTTTGGTGGGAGTAGTATTAGTTGGTGAAATGGCAAGAAGATTTAGCATGCAAGAAGCTTTGGATGTAGTCATGCAGACAGAGAGCTAAGAGTGATAGCTGTGAAGATAGCAGCAGGAGCAAACCTGATGCAGCAGGTCCTGCATGGACAGATGGAACACTTTTGTGGTCTTCCTCAAACGTCCAGATGCTGAGGTATGTTCCAGCAGGCACAGTCAGAGGAGCAAAGTCAAGGACAGACGGCAGTGCCACTTGTGCACAAAAGAGAAGGTTGTAGGCACCTGCTGTAAGTGCCACAAGTTTATCTGCAAGAACCACTCCCTTTCTATTTGCAGCCTCTGCTTGAGCTGGACTCTAATACACAGAGTGATTCAAAGTTAATGTTTTTTAGTGTTCCTTGCTCATTGTTCTTGTAAATAAATGTTCTGGTTCAAACTAATCTTGTATTTTTTTTATTTATTTTTAGAGCAACAGGGTAATATAAGTTTATGACATTTTTGTAAGTGGACACTTTTTGCCACTAGGCACTTAAGTTTCTGCCGCTGCCCCCCCAAAAATAATGCATCAAAATCAAGGTTGCTACCAATCATTGACCCATCCCAGGGCCTAATAATAATAATAATCAAATCCTGGTTGAAATGTATTTTTTGGAAATTGTAATTTTTTTTATATTTTTTACATAAAAAATATGGAGTTATGAAAACATACTGGCATATAAAGGGTTAAAAATTCTAGAAATGTCATTCATATTTGATATGTATATTTCAGGAACAAGTAGTTTTAAAAGATTGGCCAGTTTAAAGTGGAAAAAATGTGAATTTATGACATTTTTAGAGCTGTTTTTGCAAGAGGTTACTTTTTTGGCACTAGGCACATACTGTAGTTTTTTTAAAGGAACTCCTGAGGGGTCTTAGGTACATATGTGTGATTTTTTTAAAGGAACTCCTAAGGGTTAATGTTCTTACTGACTTTGTCACACTCTTACAGTGTTTACTGTCCCCCTTGGCAGTGTGAGTGGTGAGGTGTGACACTGATCAGATCACATGGTAGAAATGGTTTGACTTCTTCAGCTTTTGTTCTTAGTAGTACTTGAGCTACTGAAACGTAGAAGGATACTGCCTGTGACAAAGTAAAGTGAGTGAGGTCCCAAAAGTAGGTTCCAGTTGCTTCTAGGAGCAGCACTGGAGGAACTTCCTTATGATGAGTCCAAATAATTAGTGACATATTGTCGTTTGTGCGGTCCAGATGTTCCACTTTGTTTCCTCCACAGAACAATAACTGTAATTTTCTCAGTGTCTGGAAGGTCGGGCAGAATGTCAGGTTTGCTTGGCCGCTCTGCCTCCCTCACCTTTCCTACTGTCTCTTGCCCAATTACTCTTATCACGTTCACCTGTTCCTCACTCCCTTATCACCAGCTGCACTTGATTAGGTCACTCACTATATTACCCGGTTTCACTCCTGTCACTTGCCAGTTCTTTCTAGTCACTAGGCCAACTCTACTCCGTGTGTTTGTATTGTTTTTGTATGTCTTTCTCCCCTAGCCAGCTACTGTTTTGTGTTTCCCCCGAAGGACTGTTCCTCCAGACCGTGGCTCCACTCTATCCTCCCAGGCAGGTCAATACACAGTTGCCTATCTGTTTCACAATTGCCTTCATCTCTCTGTCTCTACCTTCAGTAACTACCATCACCGTCGACCAGCCCAGGAGTGACCCCACCTACGCAGCTCGGCCCAGCTCTCCATCTCCTCGCCTCCTGCGGTTGGTCAAACACCCGGTTACTACTCATCTAGGCTACTACTCATCTACCAGACTACGCACTATTTCCCTCTGAGTATTGTCACTACTGTGTTCACTGTATATAATAAATCATTGCTTGCACCGAAGTCGGCTACCTGGGTCTGCCTCTTTCCTCGTTCGCACACTGACTGGTGCGAACGGCTCCTAACAGAAAGAACTGGCCAACATGGATCCTGCCAGCTCCGGTGCAAGCGGTTGGTCATCTCAGTCATCTCAGGACGCACACATGGACCAGATGGCTCAGGCACTGCAGCAACAGCACAAGGACATCGCAGCACTAACTCAGCAGGTAACACAACTCTCTGCCCTGTTATCACCTACACACGCTTCCTCTGCTACATTTTCTCAGGCTCCACGCTCCACCACCCGTGCCGCCAGTCCCCGCAGGGACCCACACATACCAGAACCCGACACTTTCGACGGGCACGTTGAGAG